TAGGCTGTATTCCAGAGGTCTGCTAAGGAAAGAACAGTGCCACAATTCACTCTTCTTTTGACTACTAGCTTCCCTTACAGGAGCAATAAGCATATTTTGAACAGAGAGAATGGGGTTTCTGAGAGCCAGTTCTTTCTCAGTTTATGTGGCTTAGTGCAGGCATGTCCAACCCACAGACCAGGGGCATAAACAGACCATCACAGCTCACAGTGCAGCTGCCCCCAGCCCTGTGCTGTCATCGCTATGCACTCATTGCTCAACAACAACCAAATAGTGGTGTGCAGTTGGCACTGTCTGGGCTGAAACCAGAGCACAGAAAGGATGCAGTGCAATGCCAGTTCAAGTTATGGCAAAAAATTGTATGCACTTAGATACACTGTCTGAACACATTCCTGTGAACAAAGAATAGGCAGCCTTGCTTTCGGTTTTGATACAGGAATTTCAGAATAGGTTTCAAGATTGCTGAATAAATCATCAATTTATATTTGTAACACCATTTTCAGTTGACTGAATACATGACCTGCAAATTTTCAAATAGAATGTGTAGAGTTGCAATCAGATATTCTGCTCAGAAATCTCTCTGTTCTTGTCTCCCTCCTAGACTTGTACAAGACCTGTCTTAAAAGAGAAAGATATCCCTCACTTCACAATCACACCTTATTCATGTCATCACTTTTTAGCAGTGTGCACGTCTTGAGTAATTACTATCAAGGACAAAGTAGTAGAGGAAGAGTAAAATTTCATCAAAAATCTCTGATGAACATTATGAGAACACACCAAGAATTGGAACCACTGCCATTGGAACAGACTGATGTCATAGTTACACCAAAACATGGTCAAATGTCCCAATAGTTCTATGGTTTTTTGCTCTCATTTCTTAATGTTAAAATATTAACAGTTAAAATAAATTTTATCACTTATGTGCATTAACTGCATAGTATATTTTACAAAGGCTGCTCCAAAAGCAATGCCTCCTATTTTATCATGTTGACCCGCAAAATCAGAGGTGGATGTTGGTGTGGTATGGCAGTAGAGGTTGAACCTTCCCACCAGTATTCCATTTCATTCTGTTGCTGTGTGAGATGGACTTCTGGCATGAAAACGCATATGAAGTAAAGGTGTGGAATTGAATTCCTCCACGCAGAAAAAGTGGCACCCAATGACATTCATTGACACTTTCTGAGTTTTTATAGAGACCAATAGTGGTGGGTGACGCCTTTCAGCAGAGGCAACAGTGATCGTGTGTCAGCTCCCCTGGAGCAGATTTTGATGAGTATGCCGTGCAAGCTCTTGTTCATCAGTGGCAAAAAGCACGTAGCTAATGGTGGTGACTATACTGAAAAATAGTGTTTTGTAGCTGAGAACGTGCTCCATCAAATACTTACTGTGTTGACTGTAACTGCAGTTTCCATGGAAATGAATAGGAGGCATTACATAAATGCAGCCCAAGACAATTTCCCTTCACCCAGGCAAGCCCAAAGGTTGGGCAGCCATGGCTTAGTGAAAGCCAAAGTGAACTACAGTGGTTTTCACTGACTGAAGTTTTCTCCATGGACATTTACAAAATGTTTATTTTGAGATGGTACCTGCATTCACCCAGCATCACCACATATCTACTCTTGCTTCTTCCAGCTCTGTGCTTAGAAGCATTTTTTATTAGAAGAAGCTTACTCACAGTTGCACTTGAGAATGTTTGCATCACTCCCAAGAGCCCAACCAGGGTTCAGGAATTGCTGAAAAGGATGTTTGTCCTAAATATAAGTGTAGCCTTCTTTAATTGGCACTTTTCTGAAATTCCACTCTGACCATGCAGATCTTTCCACAACTGTAAGAACATCAAAAATAACACTACTCTTGAATTTTCTTGCAGAAACTTACCTTAGGTGTAGCTTGTGTCCTATTCAATGTTATTTTATTGGCATAGACATTGATAGAGATTTGCAGTCTACTCCAAATGCAGACAGATAGAAGCAGGCATTTTGCATTGTTTTGTGTGAATTCCAACAAGGATGTTAATACTACAGTAACAGAGAACTGCTCTTCTTTTTCTGTCTCCTCCTCTCTTTTCCTCCACAGGAGGTACCCCTAAGAATGACAGGGAATTCCATACTAAGAACCTACTGATCTAATCTCTGTTAGGAGGCAATATAACAGCTCATTTGTGAGCTAACAGTTTTCAGCTAAAAGAAAAAAGATTTGGTCCAGTAACTTGTACATAAAATGACAGCATAAGTTTGTTACATGCCGTTCATTTGCCTGTCAGCAGTCTCTGGTATATATTTATGTGAAACAGTACGCATGTTTTAATGGGAAGAAGAGAGTGATGGTGTAAAATCACCCACAAGAAAAGTTTTTCAGGCTCTAAGGTGAAGTGGCAACAGTATGAATACAGCACCTTAATGCCTTCCTGGTAGGAACACATTGATAACAGAGGATGTGCTGACAGGGAGTAGCAGCAAGCAGCTGTTCTGCTCCAGAGTCAGGCTCACTGTGAGCCAGGTGGTCTGGATTGCTGTCCTGCAGGCTGATGCTGTGAGTGAATAAGGCTCAAGAGGAAGAACTGAATTGCTTAATAAGTTTCTTCCTGCTAAATAAGCATAAGGTCATGTGCATTTCAGAATATAGTTTTTCACTGGAATGCAACAATTTCAAGAAAATAATTCAAATTTATTTTTGTGTTAATACTGGATACCTTATTTAGTCACTTTCCAGTGACAGAATTTTAAAGGTGGCAAAATTACGTATCAAAGAATTACGTGAAGAGAAAGAAATTAATCCACCTAATGCAGGTCTTTGCTCTAATTCATACCTTTGCAAAGGAACTATTTCAAAGTACTGTGTTTACTTCTCCTAGTTTCTTCTTTGGGCATCCCCAAGGAGCCCAAGTGAGGTTTCACTGGGCATGGAAATGGAAAGAAACTTAGTGCACTGGAGTGCAGTAAAGGCAAAATGTAAACAATCATTAAAGAGACAAATGGAGGAAAAAGGCAAAGAAAGCATCTGCAGGCAGGTGTAACTGTGTCAGTAATCACACACAGCTATCACCCAGCCAGTGCTGGATAGGAAGGCTTCTCTTGGGACTTGAATGTGCTATCTCCCATCACGCATTCTCACACAAGGTGTAATAGACATTTCTGCATTGTGCTGCATTTACTGTTGCTGTTTTAATTCTTTGCCATCACTCTGACACTCTGCTCATGTCAGTCATTGCCTCACGTTAGATTTTTCTTTTCTTTAGTCTCAGCTTAACTCAGTCTCAGTTATTTTGTTAATAGACATAGAGAATCAGCCAAGTTTCCAATTTGTGTTTGAGTAATAGTCACAGAATACAATAAATCATTTGTCCTTATGAACTGTATTGCGCTGCAACAGATTCTCTATTCCAGTGCAGTTAGAGGAGCAGAAAATTTACTTAAAAGCAAATATATAATAAGGGAAATTAATTATTGTGACATTTTGAATTGGATATGAGATGAGAAATACGCCTGCAAAATTGCAAATGAAAATGTAACACTGAAGACGTGTAAAGCCCTTTTTGGTGTTTTGGTTTGGTTTGGTTTTTGGTATAGAGAGACATTGTTATCTAATATTAAATGATGCTTCAGAAGAGCAAGTTAGCACATTGTTTTCCAAATTAAGTTTCAAAGGCTGTGTAGGTTACGAAGTCTGACTTTCTGCCCGTAAATGTAGAGTGACTGACAGACTACTGTAAAAATGCCTTTATTCAAAAGGAATCTTGGGCAGATAGCATCAAAGGTTTAAAATTCTGGGAGGGATGAAAAGAAAACCCCACTTTTACCCTGATTTTCCCTGCAGATCAATGCCTGTGTGAATTTGCCTGGGAATTATGAGCTATTTACTGTATTATGCACTGTTTTCTTTCGCTGTTTCTAAAGGCTCCTGTGGTTCCTTTCACACTCAAGATTTAGGGATATTTTTATACATGAAACGTGAATGAGTGAATGCATTGGTGGAACGCAAGGGAAAAATGCTGGTTTTAGACAGTTCTGCTCTCCCTTATTTTATCATGAGTTGGAGTATTGGTTTTATGGCATCTAAATTTATGGTTACATATTTTTCTGCCAAAGCCCACTGACATGTTCTGCATGCTCCATCAAGCTCTTTCTGTGTTTCTTCACTTGATTCACTGCTCCACAGGATATGAATCAGTCCTGAAGCATAACCCTCAATCTCTTCTTAACCAGAATAATGTACTGTGTTTTTTATTTATTTACTGTGTATGTCATCATCTAATTACGCAAACCAAAGAGTGTACAGTCTCAGTATTTGCTGTAAAACTCACGTCGGCTATTGATCAGCGCAGGGCATGAAGTTTCTCTGTTGCATATGAGCAGCTTACACAGATGCTAAAGCCTGTATTCAACCAAGAACCCACTGGGGCATGGGCTAGAGGGGAAATGGCCTGCTTGGACAGTTTCTTTTTAGTAACTCATCACAGCTCCTCAGTTACAGAAAGAGGCTTGAGGAGAGGGAAAGCTCTCTCTATATTGTTTTCAGTTTGGGGCCCCTCTCTGCAAGAAAGATAGTGAGTTGCTCAATTGCATGCAGAAAAGAGAAAGCAAGACATATGTAATAGCTAGGAGAATTGGGCCTGTTTAGTCTGGAGAAATGGAAGCTGAGGAGAGTCCTTGTTGCTCTCTCCATCTATTCAAAAGGAGAAAAGAGGCTTTTGGTCTGTTTTCTCAGTTGACCAGTGATAGAACATGCGGAAACAGTCTTAAGTTGTACCAGAGGAGGTACAGACTGGATGTTAGGAAGAGTTTCTCAGAGAGGTAGTAAGCAAGTTTTGGAACAGGCTGCTGACGGAAAGGGTGGAATCCCAATCCCTAAAGGTATTTGAGAAACATAGTTGGAGGAAGGACCTGATGATCTTGAATGTCTTTTCCAAACATAATGATTCTTTCTGTTGATACTTTTTTGCATTTCTTTGTGCACTGGTTGAAACTGGATCCCTTAAAGCCTTTGTTTATTTTTCACAGTGTGAAGTGAAGAAGTCTCCCAGCTGAACTACTATGAGGTCAGAAGCCTTGCTGCTATATTTCACACTGCTACACTTTGCTGGGGCTGGTTTCCCAGAAGATTCTGAGCCAATCAGTATTTCGCATGGCAACTGTGAGTATAAGAGATCTTCATTTGCTTGGAAGTAATTCAAATTGACAGTATTTTGTTATGCTGCGAATAAATAACGTTTTTCCTCATCCCTCCCAGATCAACCAATTTACATTCTCAGATAATAAGAGCAAGAACTTCTTGACTTACAACAGCCGGATGGTGGGCTGTTTGATTCTCCAAAGCCATAGCCTTTTTCCTCCTCTAACAGATCCTTTTGTAGCATAAGACCACATATTTGTTTTATCCAGAAGCAGGCGAGGGAAACTTTTTTCCCCCTCTGTTATCAAATAGTTATTTGCCTGCCCTGTGAAATTGTAGGTCTGGATAACCAGTGGCTCATCTTAGTAGCATACTAAAACAAGAGCTTTAAAAATATAATTGGTTTAGCTAGTACAAATAACCAATCTTAGTTCTTCAAAATCTGCTGTATTCCACTTCAGCATTTGGCCTTTTTGGCTAGAAATGTAGATTCTTTTATTTCTCTTTTTTCTTTTCTTTTCTTTTCTTTTTTTTTTTTAATAAGACAAAGTATCTTTTGTAACAGAAACTCTCTTCTTTCTTACCAACACTTGTTGGCAAACTCTCCAAAATTAAGGGTCACACAGACAGCTGCAAATCAGTATTGAGATGTGCTGACAAAACAGGTGGAGAGCTTTCTATGGATTTTACCATGCAAGTCAGATTTGACATAAGTGATTCTTCACATTTGCCACAGCTCAATTGCAATTACTCCAAAGAAAAGTATTCTGAAGTCCCAAAATTTGAGATATTTTATAGGAAGCATTTAGCATGTGAGCCTGTAGAAGTGTGCTAAGAAACAACAAGTTAGCAATTATAACTCCTATTTAAATCTACTTTGGACCAGGAATTTGATTTTGACATCATGGTACTGGAACAAGGCAGAATTACTCTATAGAAAACCCTATTGAAGTTGATTTAAGGTGACCACCGGGCTCTCAGCAGCAACATTTCTACCTTCCAAATGGTTATGCTGATTGTTTGTGTGAAACATGGAATAAATTCTCTCCAGCACAGCGTGCTGAAATGCATGTGAATGTGCAAGCCCAGCTTCTATTAGATCTGTGACTTCCTATAGAGGAAACAGAACTGAATAGAGAAGAACCTGAAAGTTAGAAGTTGGCATTTTGCACGTCTTGGTCAGAAACATTGGGCTTCTGAACGTAAATCCTGGCTGGACTCTATTAATATGTTTCCCAAAGAGTTCTCAGCATCTGATTTACAGAGTTTCTCACACATGATGTTCTCAAGTGCTTTGCCAAAGCTGTACTGCCAAAGTCAGTGCTTCAACCAAACTTGACAGAGAGAATACTTTTAGAGGACAGTAACTGAAAAACACTCATTGAGTTTCTGAAGAATCAGGCTCCCTCAAATAGCTGCAGTTTTCTGGGAAAACATATTGATGAGGAAAAGGCTCGTGTATGGCTTGATGCTAGTCAGATCTTTGTAAGGATTAAGCACTACACAGGCTACTCAGACAGTCTGGATTCTCTCTTCTTGCACATGTTCAAAAGCTGCCTGGATGTGGTCCTGGGCAACCGGCTCTGGTAACTCTGTTTGAACAGGGAATTAGACCAAATGGCCTTCAAGGGTCCCTCAGCCAGTCTGTGCTTCTGTGAATATACAGAGGTGGCACTTCTGTATTATGATGTTGTTCATCAGAGATTTATTGTCCTCTTGTCTTTGAATTTACCTGCATAGCTCCCTAGTTGGTGCATCTAGACATCATGATCATGCATTCATTTGCAACCTAACTGCAAAGTGGCTCTTGGTCAAAAATATTCACTATTATTGTAGAGAGAGACTAAATGCTTGTGCTGATTAGTAAAGAGGGGGAAGAAGCTGGCATGATGATAGCATAAGATCAATAGAAGGCTTCCAGTCAGTACTGTTGTTCAGTTTCCAGAAGAACTGCAGTATCAGACTGGTTGCCAAAATAATATGCAGTGACTTTTAATTTTAAAGAAGTTTGAGTAGTGGTTACCCATAGTTTCTCAGAAATCCCCGCAGCTGCTTTACAATATCAGTCCAGTCCTGTAGGAAACCCACTGAGCTGACAATTCAAACCACTCAGAGCCAAGTCTTTTGCTTTAACCACTACTAATCCAGTCACTGTGATGATTGATGGGCCACTGTAAAACTGCTTTGTCCTGTTAGATACACTTTGGCAGCCAGGAGCCAGCATTTAAAGTCTGCAAGCCGTGAAAGAAAAACTGTGAGAAAGTGCCGTGTACCTCTGTGCCAACAGCTCTAGAGCAGCTTTACATTCTAAAGAAATTTGCAGTTCTTGTCTTCTAAAAAATGACTTTCTCCTTTGCAGCCTTAGCCCTCTGTGCGAGTACCTTCCCGCCCTAGGCTGTGATGCCGGGGGAGAAGAGAAACCACAGATTTCAGCCGTTGCCATGTTAGCACGTGATTCTGTTTTGTCCTTTGCTTTTTCTCTGGAACCTTGTTCTTCTTCACTTCCCACAGATACAAGACAGTATCCGGTGTTTGTGGGTCACAAGCCGGGACGGAACACCACGCAGAGGCACCGGCTGGACATCCAGCTGGTCACGGTCATGAACAGAACCCTCTACATTGCTGCTAGGTCAGTAGTCCTCTGCTTCACCACTCCTCACTTGCTTTGCACAGAGCGGGAGGGAGAAGAGGAAGGATATTCTGAGTTTTCCTCTGCTGGGCATGTTATTCTTAGGATTTTCTCACACTCATACAGAGGTTTGCAGGCTCTTAGTAAGATGTATTGGACAGCTTGTTAGCCAGTCAGCTGAGGCTCAGTTCTGTGAGAAACTGAGCCATCCCTTTCAGGACTTCTTTCCCATTGCTCCACCTCCATTTGAGCCTGGGAAGAGAGAATTTGCAAGACTGGTGCCATGGAGGAGAGAATTCATCTTCATTCTGTAATTTCACTTGTGCACACAATTAGTTATATGTTTTAGAGAATGATTCTGTTAGTGCACAAATGCATGTTTGAATAAGAGTCGTTAAACTTTAATGTTGCTAGTTTAGGCTTATTTTCAGTACCACAAAGCAGCAACAAAAAGTTGGGGGTGGAGAAGAAACGCATTTTTGCTGCTGTTCTATTGATGTACTCAGAAAGGTTAACTGAATTTTTTTGGACTGCTGCTCTGTGCGGATACAAATACCTCTTTATATAAATTGCATGTCAAGCCACTCATTTAGCTAGTGTAGCTCAGCATAGCACGACCAGCTTTGGTGGCACTACACTGATTTATACAGCTGCCTGCCTGGCACAGACCCAACAGTAACTTCCTCTCCACTCCTGTTGTTAGCAAAGGAGGCTGACAATCTCCAAGTGGGAACTACCTGATGGAAACAGGATGAATTCAGGAAGGGCCAAGATTAGCAAGGGTCAGAAGCCCAGCTCAGGTGCTCTTGGACCCAGATCCTGTTTGGGAAAGCTGCCCCTCCAGGAGAACCTTATTTCCTCTCATTTTTTCTGGTCCTTCTGCTCCTCAGAAACGTGCAGCCTTCTGTGAGCTACAGAAGGACAGGCTGTTTCTGCAGATGGGAGAGGTGGTGGGTGGGATGGCTGGGGGTGAGGGAACAGCTGCTGAACAGGCAGCCCCTCACCACTAGCCTGTCCTCAGAGCCCCGAGTAAGGTCCAGGAGCTGTCTGTTGTTCATCAAGCAGTTCCTTCCCATTTTCTGGGCGATCAGATGTGGCCTGTGGTAGAGAGTAATTCCTGTGTACAGCAGCCAAGTCACTGGTGCTCTTTTTACATGGTCGTTTCTTTGGCTGCTTGAAAACTGCACTGTTAACTGCTCACCTACAGGCTAAATACAGCTTCCTCAGGCTTCTCACAAACTTCACTGGCACTTCCATGTGCCAGACTTTGGGGCTGTAGCTTAATACCATGCCCTGCTGGCTTCCTTGCAGTTTCCCCTACCATATCATTTATTCCACAAAGCAACAGCAAGAGATAGGGATTTGAAACCAAAGTGTTGAAGAGTTTGAGGTTTTTAAGCAGAGAACACTTTTTTCTTTTTTTCTGATTACTGCCAGTTTGTTTTCCGTTGTTTTCAACACTGCTTTTTTCCTGGTGTCCCCGGACAGGCCGTCACACTGCTCCCTTCTCCCAGAGGCGACCAGGATCAACCCCTGGTTTTCTCCTTGCATTCAATCCTGGCAAAGTGTGTAGGTCAAATACCACTGCTGGCTGTAGGACACAGAACCGTGGTTCCTCTCCTCCAAGAGGGATTCAGGTTCACTTTGCAGTGGAGTGCTGACCCCACTGTGAGGCCCCAGCTCAGGGCATGGCGTTTCTGCCGCTTCCAGTGTGATAACAAGCACACAAGGGCAGAGAGTGGGCTGAAAGTGTTTGGAAGGTGGTGGCAGGATTTCCTCCTTTTCAAGGCTGATTTCACTTTGCTTTCCTTGTTTGTTTTCCTTTAAATGAGGAAATCATTCGCCGGCAGAAGGTGGTAAATCTGCTTTAGTGGATTTTGCCCTGCTATACTCAGTTTGTTCCCAGAATGAAAGATTGACGCAATTAGAGTTGCACTGCCCAAGCAACCAGCTTTACAGCAAGAAAACACACATAAGCATTTTGGTATATGAAACTGTTGCACAGGTTATATAAAAAATGAAAATACAGGGAAGGAGAATATGTGTATTGGTGTACATTTATGCACTCTTACATATTCTGTAGCTATGCATTTGTATAACACGTTTTACCTTAATGAGAATGCTCTTGTACTCCTTGGGCCTTCTGACCTACAAAAAATCATGAAGATGTAGTCTCTTTTGTACTTAAACACGCACAAAAGAATCCTACATTTTTTTCCTTTGGTACTCAGGCACCCTTTGGTACGTTATTTTCCCTCTCCACATGCTACTGAATAAAATCTCTGCTGGGCTGAGAAACTTGTGTGATTTAAGTTAAAATTCTAAGGTAATTTTCATCTGAAGTTATAAACTTCAGAAAATGAATCGTCTTTTGATAGTGTGAATGAGGGTTTACAACTGCAATATTGGATCTCTTTCAGAGGCAGTAATACAACTAGAGATTACATACATACAAAGGTTGAAGCAAGCATGTACACAATCAAAGGTGTTTCTCGAAGAGTTTGATAGCAAGATAATTGCAGCTAACATAAGTCCCCTAGATATCATACCAGGTCTTGCTTTCATACCATTTTTTCACTCGTCAAAATATAGTCATTATAAATTTACATTTGTACCATTATCTGAAAAGCAGTCAAAACAAACTGCTACACATTGACAGTTTTTGTTTTGGTGTTTCTGTTGTTGTGGACTTTTTTTTTTTTTTCCCCTTGTTTATTTGCTTGTTTTAGAAAGCATAGCTTTGCTTTGCAGGCAGCCTCCTCCAGGAGGACAGACTCGGGTGGAACTTTATTTCTGACTGACTGAGACAGAGAGTAATTTCTGTCTGTTTGTCACTTCTGTCATATGGGTGTGCGACTTCTGTGTTGACTGCTCTGAAGTATAATTCTGTGTCGCTTTGGAAAGGCTTTACTTCATATTATCAGACAGAGATAAATTAACATGAGTCAACCAAAGTTCCTGAAACCATGTTGGTTTGCAGCTAGGATGCCTGAGGTACAGTCTGTATGCGAGCAGCTGTTTTCTTTTTTTCTCATGGGAAGGCTAACATCTTGCCATCTCTCACACATTCACAAATACGAGCTTTTTTTGCCATGCCACCTCCTCCCACTGCCTTGTGTGGTGGCCGCTTTTGTCCACTTTATCTGTCATGCTTCGTGTGTGTGTACGAAAGAGTTGACTGAGCCTGTGGAGCATCGGGGCTCCCTCCTCATTTGCTGTTACACATTTTCTGAGTGTCCAAGGGTCATCCACAGCCGGTGGCATTATTTAAATTCCCTTCCTCTGCAAGTCCATGCCATGGCAACAAAACTCAGTTCTGCTGACTGGAGGTGGGAAAAACGGAAGCTCTAGGATTAGGTCAATTTGTGTTAGAATAACTTAATTAGCAACGAGCTGTACGCATACCACAGCTAGTAGATAGCAGGATTTGGGCAGCAGTGGGAAAAAGAGAGCAAGGACAATTCTGTATTGTCTGTGGCTGGAGAACCTTCCCCACCATCTCACAGCACTTTGCTTCTCTGCTGGCATTGTCAGCAGCTTTATTTCAAATGCAGCATGAGAAAGTAATAGGTAATTTGCCTGATACTGACCCTCCTTTCGATGATCCCACAACTTAGCATATGATTTTCCTTTCAGCTGTTTCTTAAACCAGAAAGTAAGCCCCCTGGGAGATGTTTTATGGAGCATGGAGCTAAGCAACTCGAGCCTCTTTTTGAATACCCCAACTGTATTTTTAATTGTCCTGTTTCAAAAGAAAAAATCATAGCCCATGTAAACTAAGACTGATCATTACAATCAAGAGCTGTGCTGGAAGAATGTTTTTAGAAATCCAGCAGCACTTAATTTGCAATTCAAGAGACTTTGTTCCCACTTTTATCTAGTAGGAGTAACAGCATCAGAGATGCACATTAAAAGGGAGCTGTGTGCTAGTCTGTGAAGCTGATACCACACTAATAGGTAATTTTAGTCCAGCCCTGACCACTGCTATGTCAGTGAAATCATAATAATAATAAACTGAGGCATTAAAGTCATCTTGAAAGAAAATGACAGTTCTGTTTTTTCAGAGTCTGGAGGAGCAGAAAACCCACAGCTCCTCAGTTTGGCATCTTATGCAGCAAATAACTTCAAGTGTCATAGCAGGCAGGAGGTTTTTAAAAGCAGGTTCCCTGCAACCATGCTGCCTCTTTTCTCCATGCGAGGGAAGTGTTGCTAATTCTTATTATGGCAGTGTTTTGTGTTTGCTTTGCTTGAGAGATAGCACTATTTACACAAAACCCAAAAAAGTGAAGCCAGGCTTAACAGCTGAAATTTCCAAAATGGAAGCATTCTGTATGCTGCTCTCTGCAGACTCCTATGTAGACCTCTCACGTGCCACAGACCATTCTCCATCTGCATAGCTTCCTGCATTCTCAAAAAAAGTCAATGCTGTTTCACAAAAAAGCAACAACAACAAAAAAGTTATGCTCAGTATTCTTCTCTCTTCATTCCCAATTTCATGTGGCTGTTAGTATGGTGCTGTGGGTTGTGCTTTTTTTTAGTCTCCATATAGAAATGTCTGTGTTCTCAGCTTAGCAGGAGAGGATGTTTAAAAATATCTCTCTACCTGAGTGACTGAGTCTATTTATTCTTTCCTAAGAGAAATTGGCAGCTAATTATAAGGAGAAGCATGCTCTGAGAAAAACACTCTGAGGAAAGTAAATGCAAGCAAGAAATGTGGATTTTGTTGAGAGGAGCATTTTAGAGTTCGGTTTGGCTATTGGTATGTGAAGAGAGGACTCCTGGGAAGAGCTGTGTGGCTGTCAGCCTTTTGGCTAGCATATTGTCAGCCAAATTGTCACATCTGAAATTAGAAAAAAACAAAATAAAACAAAAAACAAAAAATTAACCTTTTTTTTAACCCTGAATGGCTAAATATTGCACAGTGAGTGCTAGCCCGGAATGGTGACAAAGGCTGTCACAGATTGCATCTGAGTTCAGATACAGAAAAAACGTCTGCGTTCTGGCATTAGTTCTACGTCCCATTGAGCAGAAATTATAAAATTATATAAGGCTCATCTTCCATCCAAAATTTTAATTATTCATATAATCCATTTCGGGAAATAATCTTGCTTTGAAGTATTGTAAAATTTCCTTTTTTTTTTTTTCTTTTTTCTTAAAGAAAGGAAATACAGTTTATATATGGAAGTGCTTTTCTGGGAGAAACAGGTAATGCTGTCAGTAATGTTCCCTGGTAAGACCTGTGATCCTTTTTTGAAAGGATTATGGATTATCTTGTCAAGTAGGTCTCCTCATGGAAAATGAATGGTTTTACTATACCTTTTGACTCTGCATTCATTTGCTTTTGTTTACAGGGACCATATTTATACAGTTGATATGGACACATCACATACAGAAGAAATTTATTTTAGCAAAGTAAGTAGTTTTTATCATCTTCCAGAAACAGAAGGCAATGGTCCAAAAGTAACTGCTTTTTATTTTATCATATTGGCCCACAGTGTCAAAGACGGTGGTGGTGTAGGAGTAGGGGCTGGACCTCCCCACCAATATTCACAGAATCACAGAATGGCCAGGGTTGGAAGGGACCTCAAGGATCATGAATCTCCAACCCCCCTGCCACGTGCATATTCCATTATATTTAATATTCCATATTCCATTATTATTATATTCCATCCCATGTTGTTGCCATTTGATGAATCGCAGCAGAGGGGAACTCTAACAGAATGGCGTCTGATATGGAACTGTGTGCAGAGCAAGGGTGTGGAATTGAATTCCTCCATGCAGAAAAAATAGCACCCGTTGGCATTCATCAGCACTTGCTGAACATTAATGGAGACCAAACAGTGGATGTCAGCACAGTGAGGTGGAGGATGGAGTGTTTCAGCAATGGCAAACAGGGACATGAAAGATAAGCCATGTTCTAGATAGCCACGTGCAGCTGTCAAGCCGCAAAATGAAGAGTGTCTTCATCATCTAATTGATGTGAATCACTTACTGCTGATGACTGTGTTGACAAAAAGTGTTTCGTAGCAGAGAATTTGCTCTATCAAACAGTTTTATTGTGCTCTTTGTATCTGTTGTTTCCATGGAAAAAATAGGAGGCATTACTTTAGGAGCAACCTACGTATAATGGCTATACTATTCCAATTACGTACACTGAAGCTTTCATCATAAAAAGCAAACACTATTAACATATTTGCACAGAAATTTGTAAATAAATCTGTAAATAAGATCTTACCATAGCAGCACTTTGTAGACGTATCCACATTATCTCCATGGCAAGATGAATTCAAATTAAGAAGAGCTTTATCTGCATTACTGCATTGCAAATTAGCATAAATTTTCTAGAAATAATCTCCCTTCAGCTCCTCCTCACGTAGTGTAATAAGTGACAGACATAGCCTTTGGTCCAGCAGAAGACCGTATCAGTTTGGCCAATGCATAGATTCCACCGTAGGAGAGGAGAATTTGTTGATACATCTATGAAAGGTGCTGAAGATTAGCTTATGTCTTGTTGCTTTTCAAAAAAGGGAGGTCATAAGCTTGTTACGGAAATAAAAGCAATACTGTTCTTACATTCATGCTCATTTATTCAGCTTGGGGCCCTTAGTGAATGGAGGGTGACTCAGTGTACTACTAGGAAATATTGTCAGAAGAAGTGTAGTGTCTGAGGTGTTACTGCTATCTTAAGCCACATTTTAAATAAATATTTATTATCGTTAATCAACCTACCACATTCAACCATTTATTGAATTCATTGGAAAAAAGAAAAGAAGGAGGTTGGCATTTTTTGAATTTACCTGAAAGCATTCCAGAGAAAGAATGCTGGTAGATGAAATCAGCAGTATCTTGATAAACAGAGCACTCTCTCAGACTGCTAGCTAACTTGAAATGATAAAATTGCCTTCACTATAATTTCTTTGCTAATGTGAAATGTCCTGGAATAGATACTCCACTTAGATTCCAATCAGGATATACAGTCCATAAATGTTTATTTTGATTTGTGCAATAGTATTAAATTAAAAGAAAAGAGCATCTAGTGTTTTTGGAAAAGTACTTATAAGTTTTAGCCTATTGCAAAATTCAGTTGCCTTAGGATTTAAAAGAAGAAAAATAAAAGGGAGAGGTTTCTGGTTTAATGAATAGATAGCAACACAAAATTAAGTGAATGGTTCACATCACTGATCTTTCATTGTTACGGCAAATTAATCACGGAGAAAGGGTGCAGAATGCTTTTAATGAGTATATGTTCAACAGCTAGTCTCCCCCAGGGGACTTCTACTTCTGAAATCAAATGCAACAACCTCTGGGCTCTAATTGATTTCTTTCTTGATCCTTGCAGAAACTGACGTGGAAATCTAGACAAGCTGATGTAGACACATGCAGAATGAAGGGAAAACATAAGGTAGGCAATTTTCATTTCTTTTGCATCTGCCACTTTAGTTTAGTTGCTTCACTACTATCTCAGGCTGCTGTCTGTGATGTGGAATGGATCATGCCATTCACTTCTTTGCTAGTAATTGCTTTTTCCATCAGCCCAGTGAAGGCTTTAATTTGCAAAAAAATAGTTTACTTTTAATGTGATAAAGCATTACGACAGGAGGCACAGCAACATCCCAAAAAGCTTAGAGCACTGGAAGTTTTGAACATCATGCCATGTGTAGTGTTTTAGGTTAACACCATCTCAAGAGCTAAGTGCTGTGGTCCATCCTCCTGTAGGGGCTTACAGAGAAGTTTATATGACATGTCAGTGTGTATAGAGGGAGGACTGTTTCTCACACTAGTCTTCCCTTAGTGTAACACACTACTAACATGCGTGAGGTCAGAGTTAGATGCTGATTCTGATTCTTCATAGAGCTTCCCCTGCTTGTTCCAGCTGCTTCATGCAGATACACTGAGACTGTTTTACAGCAGCACAGGTGAGATGATCAGATTTTTCACTCCTGAGGAAAGCAACAGTGTTCAAACAAAATTCTAAGTGAACAGCAAAATCTGAACTGCAACATGGAAATCATATCCTCAGTTCTTTGTAATCATTTTTAACCACCAGAATAGAAATAAATTGCATCTCACTCATTGTCAGTAAAACACAGTTGAAATAAAGCCTAGAATGTCACAGTAACTTCCAGCCAATTTCATTTTAGACTTGACAGTGAAAGATCACACTGAAAAAATAAAACCAGACACCCAAGTAGAGTAACTTAAATACTTTTGTTGTCTTTCTTCAGGATGAATGTCATAATTTCATTAAGGTTCTCCTAAAAAGAAACGAAGATACTCTTTTTATCTGTGGAACAAATGCATTCAACCCTTCTTGCAGGAACTACAAGGTATGTGATCTGTTAGTGAGATTTCATTTGTGACCTTTCCTTCTGTTGGATTTATTGTGACAGTGCTGGCACAGCATGAAGTGTGTTGTTCAGCAGTACATCTTTCAACTCCGTAGCCCATCTATTCAAATATTTCCCATTTTTTTAGGCTTGCAGCAATCCTATGTCATACAGCCTTCATCAGCAGATGTCTTTGGAGTAGCTGTGAAATTAGTTCAGTTAGGCCTTGGTATCTGGGCTCTGCTTTTTCAGGCACTGCAATATCCCACAGGTTATTTCTTATCCTTCAGGAAAAAGAAAATTCAGCTTCACTAGTGCTGCTTCTGACAAAACCACAGCAGAGAATTCTTATTCTCTTCAGTGCTGTCAAAGTGAAAAACAGTATAAAGACATTAACACTGAGGAAAACAGCTTCCGTAGTGGTATTCACTGTGAATGCTTTTTCTGCAGTGCTGATTTACTTTGTTTAGCCACTGTATTGTCTATAGTCTAGGAAGTGCATTGGAGAAGTTCAGCATAGTCTTTTATTTCAGTCTCTAGAGGAAGAACCAGATTTATTCATGTATGAGCTTGCATCACGCATCTGGTACAGGTAGCTGATGTTCTTGAAACCTCTGTCTCTCTTCTTCTTCCTCTCCTTGCATCTTGCTCCTAATGTGCAACTAGGTTTCCGGGCTTCAGTGTGATACTCAGTTTTATTGTTTCATTTTATTGTTTCATGGCCCCTCCTCAAGCTGCTTTTGCTAGAAAGCTGATTTTTAACACAAATGCAGATTTCGTTGGCGTAAATGGCTCTCCTGACCCCTGCTGCAGGTGTTTCATTCCTCATGACACATGGCCCCTTCAGGATTCCTCACCTGTCACTGAGCTGCCTCGTACCCAGGCAGTCAGAGGAAGTCACCTTGACACCTCCTCAGGCTTTTCCTCTATTACTGGGTTACAGAGAGAGATCACTAAAGTTGTGCCTAACAGAGAACAGGGCTATCCTTCCACGCACAAGGTGGAAGTGTAGACCAGCCTGCGGTACAAGGCTCAGTATAGGGAAGGCTGCACAGAACTGCATTTCCCCTCCCTATCATCTGTAGTGTTTTCCATCCTCAAGGAAGCACAACTAATTCCCTTCACAATGGATTTGAACAGAAAAGGCACATGACAGAAAACGAATGCTGACAGATCATCCACCAGAGGACCTAGGTGCTGTAACATTCAACCTAGAAGCTGGTGGGAGTAGCTGATGCTGCCAGATGGGTTATTTTTCATGCTCTGTGAATCTGTACTGTGTGTGGTTCGCATAGCGTGAGCTCATCATGTTCCTTGACTATGCTAGGGAGATGTTTATTCCCAAAATACTGCTGTATAAGAATCTTAAGCAGGTAAGAGCTGTACCTTTCCCATAAAGCTTGCTAAACCCTCTTGAACTTACTGTAAAGTTGATCTGTGTATTTGTATAATTACCAGTGCTTGGGGTGAATTTGTCTCCCAGGAGTTACACTTAAGCCTTAGATTTTACAATTTCTGCACAGATTAATTCTTGCCTGATGGTAAGAGGATTTCTCCATAACACAGCCTCAACTGATGCGTGGAGTGCATCCTTCTGAATATGAAGAGGCACTGCTTTTGTGACTAGACCAGAAGAATCTCCGGACTTTGGGGGGAGAAATGCACACACACATAATTGTCCTAGTGTTGTTTCTTCTGACTGCTATGGCTTGCAGTCTTTTGCTGTGTATAAAAGCGCTTCTGTTGGATCACTGTTGAGGATATATTTTGAACCCATGCCAGAACCACAGACCACGTAGCCTGCTGCAGTTCAACAGGAAGCTTGTGTGTAGATAAAATATTGACTGAAGACTTTTGTAAAATGTGTGTAAAAAGTGAGAGTGATTAGGCCTGAGAGAGTGCCTGACTTACTGGATGCACATTTTTCAGCCTGATTTTGTTTAACGCTGTGTTTTTTGTCGTGTCCTTCGTTCATAGCCAGGAGGGCAGTTGCAGAAAGGGCTTTGCTCCCTGCCCAGAAATGAAGCTACCATTAACCTGGTCCTGGGTAAGAAGTCTTGCTCCTGTATCTGAGGAGCTCCCTTTTGTTTTTCAGGTGGATACACTGGAGTTCCTGGGTGATGAGTTCAGTGGAATGGCCAGGTGCCCCTACGATGCAAAGCATGCCAACGTTGCATTGTTCGCGGGTAAAGAAGAATGACTGAAATAATCTCTTTTGCTTTCCTTCCTGCAGCCCAGGCTTGCCATTGAGTCCAAATGCCAAGGTAGCAGACAGGGAGTGGATAATGACTAAAAATAAGGGCCATAAGGAACTCACACGCACAGGAAGCCTTGCCTTGTCTGGGACTGGCTTCACTACCACAAACAGCATTGCGTGAAGCCTCAGTTTCTTGGTTCGGTATTTCAGTATTTCCTGGAGTCATAATAATACAATGCCAGACGAGAGTGAGGCACCATTTCTGACTGCATCCTGCTTCTGTGAAGGGCAAGGGCAGGGCTTATGTGAACTTTGATGAGGAAGAGACAGGATATGCTGTTTAACAACTCTAAAGTTACTTCTATTAGTGCAAACCATTCTGATCTTCTCTTACATTCGGCTGTAAAATTAGATGATAAAGATAATACAGAAGCCACCTGTGATAATGTCACAGTCCTTTTCAGTAGGTGTACTGCAAGCAGGGCTTGGTTACCTGGAAGTACTTTAGCAATTCCTCCCAAAATGTTGAGGTGTAGGAGTTTGAACATACGGAGCCACTAAAGATCATGTCCATGGCATAACTGCTGCATTAGCTGCTACTGCATTTGAGCTGGCATGGTCTGCTTTACAAAGGAGAGATTTTATAGCTGGTTGTAAAAAAATTATTTGCTCCCTCTATGGTATATAGTGGGTCCTTTTGTTTTAAAGCAATGGTGGTCATGATGATGGTGATACTGTGTAGTTTCTTAATTGCAGTCGGAAGATCATAAAACTAGAAATCCTTTGATTATAGGTGATTTGTAACCCACAGAGAAAGAGGCACACCTTCAAAACAAGATGCATCCCAAGTGTCTCAGATTGCTGTCTTTGGGGCAGTCTGAGTCAGCTGTCAGGCATGCCTTATTCACTACATTGGCCAGAAAAGGCATTTATAACCAATGTAATGCAAACATTTCTCTACATGCAGCTGAACCGGGTGAGATGAGTCCCATCCTGTGGCTGTAGAAGTCCTCACATTATTTGAAAATAGTATTTTTAATAGAAATAAATTCTCTAGCTCTTAGGATGATTCGGTCTGAAAATGGTAGTGTCACGATAAATTCTTACCAAATATACCCTGTAAGTCTCCTAGCTTCATAAAATTGGTTTGATACAGCATACATACTGATCTGTGTGATAACTTTTCAGAGTGCAGAGGAACGCTGTTTCAGAGCAGTTTAGGGCACAAATCCAGCTCATCTGAGTCTGCTGGGAACGCTTACAAGAATATGGCTCTTCTTGCAGCTTGTAGCTATTTTAGCTGATATGTGTGAATTGTAATTAGTCACATGGTCTCCTGCAACTTGTCACAAAAAAAAATAAACGTGTGATTGTATTAACATGAGTTCAGACATCCACAGCTAAGCAATTCAGCTTTTTATACTATTTTAAATTGTTTTTAGTATCTGCCTTTATTTCCTTTTTTTTGCAAGCCCTGCTAAAAAAAAAAAAAAAAAAAAAAAAAAGGCTGTTATTAAATGATGATTGGAATTGCAGGGTGAGAACAAGCAGAAAAGTCCTGCTAGCAAAAACCAGTCATGATTTTTAAATCCCAAGCTGAAATGAAACATTGACTGTAGGTGCAGTGAGAAGAGCTTGTTATCACAAGGGACTCTCTGCACATGCAGTAAGCACCATCAAGGCCCCAGGAAACCTTAGATGTGTGCTGCTCTGATATTCTGTAGACACAACAGAGATTCAAGCTGCTGGCCTCATGCCCTGGCACTTGTTCTCCTACCAGCTGCCATGGTTCCAAGGTCTGCCTTGTAAGGGGAAACAGTACCAGGTTATCATGACCTGTGAACAGTTCTGACCATCAGTATCAATTTAAACTGCAGATAAAGCTCGTGCATTTACCTTCAGATAGTTTTGCATCTTATGATTGTCCTTGGGGTTCCAGTCTGTAGTCCCCTTCTTACCATTAGTCCTCCAGCATTGTTTAAGAGAGAGAAATTGATAAATCGTGTTGAAATGACCTAAGACACCATTTTAGAAGAGAAACATGGACAGGCAGTCCTACTTCATTTCATCGCATCTCTGCTTTGCCTTAGCTCCCTGCATACCACTGAATTTTTAACTAGTGATCTTTGGCCCAGAAGTACTCACAGAGTGAAAAACTCAAATAAGTGCGAGTTAGCTGGCAATCCCCAAGACCTGTCTGCTTTTCTCTCCTGGTTAAAACTAATTTCTGTTGAGGTTTCTCCGTATTTATTTTGCTCACATGCACAGACGGAATTTATGAGCACTGAGCTAGAGACATTTGCGGATAAATTGGATAGGGCAGATTAGTATGTCTTAGCTAAGCTGGTGAAGAGCTGCTTCATGAGGTTTCTTCTCCCACAACACACCTCTGTTTAAAAATTTACGTTCAATCCCATTTACCTATTTGGATTCTTTCACGTCAGTTTTCTTAAAGAAGATTCTCGTTTGATTACTGAGCAAAAGTAATTATTCCTGTCAAGTATTCCTGTCACTCCCCACCCTGTTTCTTCTTTTCTTCCTCCCCAGAGGGAAAGCTGTATTCTGCCACAGTGACTGACTTCCTAGCAATAGATGCAGTCATATACCGGAGCCTTGGAGAAAGCCCAACTCTGCGGACAGTGAAACATGACTCAAAGTGGTTGAAAGGTAGATAAACAAACAAAACAAGGAAAAGCCGCATCTCTGATGACAGTCCTGGATTCCTGAAAGAGGAGCTAAATAGCATCTCTTATACTGATCTATTTATCTGTTTTTCCTCTTCTCCCCACCCCAAGCTATCGGACTTGACATAAAATGAGAACGTAGTAGACCTGAATATAGTCTAAAGAGCTTTCCAAGCTGAAGTCATCAATTTACAGCTGTTGGATGCAAAGGCTGGAATTTTCAGGGCTCAGTGTGCTTGGTGTACTCAGACTGTGTCTGCAGCACTCCCTTCCCTGACAGCATATTAGGTACCAGTCTGGGCTTCGTGAAGGATGGAGAACTTGTCCTGCAACATTAAGATTCGTCAGTGAAAAATAAAATTATAGGAATATTGCACAAAGCCTTCCTTTTATATTCCCTAGGTACTGTGCAGCTGCCATTGAATTAGGCAATGTGTGCTCTAAATGCCCTCATTGTTAAGAATGGTGCTGTTTAGCTTCACGTAGGCGTTATGAATAGTTAACATTTAGAGTGATCTTAACAGTGAGTAAAGCCATAGTTTGAAGGCTTTTTCTGCATGCAGAAATGTTTTGCCAGGTGTTGACATTAGCAGTCCCACTTTGCTTGTTGCTGCAGACATGTATGAGCAGAAACACTAACATGGCTTGTTCCCTCCACGTACAGCCTGCAGGCCATAAAGAGCTGTGTTTGAAGCCCCAGGCATGCACTATCCACTGCCTCTTCTCCTTTCTTTCCCCACCATGCTGTGCAGATGTGCAGTGGCAAACACTTGACAGCCTTGCAGAAGTTTTCTGCAGGCTGGCCCCCAATGGTGCTGCATCCCAAGCAGGAGCTCCTCTCAGTTCTGCAAACTAGACAGGCTTGCCTCACGTGGGGTTTAAATTTTCAGCACTTAATGTGAATGCTTCTTTCTGCACACATAGTGCTTGCATGCTATATGCTGCACATGGAATGTCTTGTCTTTTTCCTAGAACCATACTTTGTCCAGGCAGTGGACTACGGCAATTATATTTACTTCTTCTTCCGGGAAATAGCAGTGGAGTACAACAGCATGGGAAAGGTAAGGGTGAAAACATTGCCTCAGATGACTCAGTGACATTCAGGAGGAGAAAAACATATGCTATTCTTGGACTGGTGCTATTAGGAATGACCTTGAAATGAAAACCATAAATCATGATGACAGGGTCATCATTTTGAGAAGTTTCCTATTGCTCAAGCCAAAAGGTGGGCAGGAGTGAAACATCGCACTGTCTTGAAAGGAAACAGGGTGGTTTCTGACAGTGGTGACTTAGGCTGGAATCTCTTTTCCCAGTCATAAAAAGCACAAGGCAAATGTGCTACCTTCAGTGTGCTTTAAAATGGCTTCTAAAGCAAGGCAGTATTTGTCTTTAAGAAATCTGAATTTGAGTAATCGAGGGGAGAAATTTTGTGGTCTGCCATTCTTCAAAAAATAATTAAACATTTACTGCATTTTTGTGAATTTCACAATAGGTTTCTGACTAAGCAGTCAGAAAAACTGACCAAGGTCAGAAAGGTGAAGGGGAGGAATAAAAGCCCAGCAAGATTTGCATAGCTTTTAAGTGCTGAAAATACCAGAGTTGGAGCAGGCAGTGTGGGTTGCAGAGACTGTGAATATAAAATGTGCTATTGTTTGGGGAAATAGAAAGCTAAGCAGTCTGTATGGAAATGAGTTTTATTTGGGTTGAGAACAGATCTCTTGAAGGATTTATGGCTGTGTATTAAATGCCACAGCCTTATCATTTATAACATGCTGTTCCAAAGCTGAGTTTTCTCAGTTTCTTATTGCCACAGATTATGGAAACATGGGATTAAATTAAGCACCTTGCTGTGTCGTTTCAAATGTTTCAAATGCAGAATTCCTACAGTGTTTGAGTTAAACATTTCATTTTCTCTAATATTCTTGCTATACTGCTTCCAGGTAGTTTTCCCGAGGGTGGCTCAGGTTTGCAAAAATGATATGGGAGGATCTCAGAGAGTGCTGGAAAAACAGTGGACTTCCTTCCTCAAGGCTCGTTTGAACTGCTCAGTTCCGGGTGATTCACACTTCTACTTCAACATACTGCAGGCAGTTACAGATGTTATCCATTTCAATGGCCGGGATGTTGTTTTAGCAACCTTCTCCACTCCATATAACAGGTAACAGGAGCAATAATCTTTTGTTTCCTTTACGTTTTGCTTTTCATTGCAGTTTCTTCTTACTCTATAAAGATCCAAGAAGCGATTGCTCATACAATGTAATTATTATGTACCACGCACTTACCAATAGTTTGTGTTTCATTTTAAGATACCCTGGCATTGCTTACTACATTTTATATCTGATAATTTAGAACAGCTTTCAAACATTTACTATCTGGACGTGTTCCTTGGACATTTTCTTTACGTGAGAATAATTCAGACCAGCTGCCAAGAAGTTTTGCAGAGCGTAAGTCTCAGAATGTTAATACAAAGAGAAAATACAGTTTTCCTTTCTTGCGAAGAGAGGACTGGGTCTGTCTCATTTGCAGCCTATTTCTCTGTGTTTCGTGGATCTCTATTGGCTCTTGTATCCTCCCCTGGGAAAGCCACGGGCCTCAGCCTTGTTGCAGGCTGCAGAGGAAGTTCTCCAGATCAGAACAGGAGAAGCAGAGGCAGGATAGAGCTTCAAAGTGTGTCAATTCCTTCTCTGACAATTTATTTTCATAGAGGGATGTCTTGAACTCCTCACGCTTAGCCAGCCAGTCTTACTAGTTTTTACCTCCCTGGAGCTGCACCCATGATGGTTTTTTTTGAGAGCAAGAGGGAAGGAGGAACTCTGCTAAACAAAAAGACTATTCCTTTTGCTCACCACATCAGCATGTCTTCATGCTGCAGAATTGACACTCAGGGGTCCCAATCTTGCTTAAGCAGAGCTGTAACACAGCAAAGAGGTACCAGGGAGGGGAGTAATTCCTCAAGCACCTGTGTTTCATTGTACATGTGGTTTCCAAATGCTTCAGTTCACATGTTAAGAATTTATTGCTGTTATACATTATATGTGTTTCTCCAGAAGTTATTATAGTAGTAACTATCTTAATTATCAAGGTCTCATGGAGAAGTTAGAAAAGCATTCATAGTCTAATTAAAAGATATATTGCTGATTCACAGGGTAATGCTTGAGCTGAAAGGGGAATTTTATTGCTGAAATTCATCTAGTTTTACTGCACACTTGCCACCTTTTGTCAAAGCCTGGCCATAGTAAGATCATGCACAGAGCTGAATTCAAATGAGAGTAAGCCTAGCCCTCCATTTTTTAATCACTTCTCTTGACATGAAAATAATGGGAACTTCAAGAGAAAAATTAAGTCACAGGGAATAAAATTTTAAATTGAGATGATCTCTTCTTATGCAAAATGTCCTAATAAAAACAAGCAAATGGAGAATCATCAGCAGCAAATATACTGTATCCTGAGATTACCTATAAATTGAGATGTCTTTCTACTCCGCTAGTATTTCCTGTGGTGTGTCATGAACAATCATTTACTTTAAATCCTGTGTTTTAGAATCTGAGTACATGGTTCTAAAATCAAGATCCTATTTATGGGCACCATTTTTTGCCAGGCATTGGAGATGACAGAAAGGCACATAGCCTTGGGGGCATCTCAAAAACAGACCTACCTCTGACATGGACACCTCTCTCTCATTCATTCCTCCTTCTCTGAGGAAAAGCTTCAGCACATGCCTTTCATCTCTGGAACAAGAACATCCTCCTAAAGTGATCAGGAAAAGATCCCACAATTCAATCTGATATCAGCCAGGGTGGGAGCTGGTGATGGCTTGTAGTTAGTGCATAAGAAATTGCTTGGCTGTGACCCACAGTCCTCCATCCACAATGTTTAATGGTGCCATGGACTTGCTAATTGCCATCCCCCATAGAAAAGGATTTTGCAGCCTTCTCAGTAGTGATCCCTCCATCACTTTGAAATGTGTTGAAATGGACAGTTCTCTGCACATCTAAGTACTAAGCCTGGAGGGTTGTTTTTGAGTTAGTGCTAAATTCACAATATGCAAGACCTATCTGAAGTGGGAGTTGCTGTGCCTTAGGATGTGGTCCTGTTTGCAGCCAAGTACACCCCCAGCTGACCCTTACATCAAAATACAAGTGGCTGCCTCTCCTTATAACTATCGCTGTTTAGTATCACGTTAGTGAGAAGGTTTGAAGTAAGTTTCCTTCCATATAAGCACCCAGCCTGTGGAGATCGAAGTTGTACTATTATTGTCTCCCTACTTGTTGTTTCGTTCAGTAATAAGCATTTCAGAATCTCTCAATATTCAAACAATCATTTCCTTATCAATTTTTGCGCCCTTATAAGTTTAACTTTATTCTCTGAAACAGTATTACAGTTCCTACGTTTTCTCTTTGGTAGGTAATAGCCTACTAGCTAAAAGCAGGATTGAAAGACTTCAGCCAGTTAGGTTCATGCTATTTATCTCATAAAATCAAGCAGAGAAATCAGACATGAATACAGTAGTTAATGTGTAAAAAATGAAAGGTGGATAAATGAATAATTCATGCTTCCAAGTGAGTGACCATGGGAAAATCCTAAGCTTTTCAGAAAGTAAGTAGGTAAGGTTGCAATTATGTTTAGACAATGCTATCATGCACTTGCTTGCAAATTTACAACTTTATCATCTAAAAATACAATTGTGTTTGCTTCTACAAGCTCTTTACACCTCACTGAGTGATTGAGTTAAGCAAATTGCTGAGCACAGTTAACTTCTTTCCACTGGGAAAACCTGATGGAGATGAGGCTATAAGAGGATGGAGTAATAATGTGGAAATGCAAATGACACAGTGCAGTGCACTTCCAGTTTGATCAGCTCCAACTTCTGATCTGTCTACAAGGTACTTTTGAGGCATGACAGGGACTGTGAGAATTCATACTGAGAAAATGTTGTGACTTACAAGAACTTAAATTTCCAAATAATGGGCTTTCAATGAGAGTAGCTGCTACTCCTCGTGCATTACCATTCATACACAGAGTTTTCCAGATTCTGTTCCCTTTTCAAGATTACTGCAATTAATTCTCTCTATAGAGCCTTTGAAACAAATTGTGCTGGCAGGAGCTGTCTGCTGATTGGTACATTTCAGTCTTTTCCATGGAGCTGGCTTTTCCTGTCAATACTCAGAGGTTACAGAGTTCAGAATTGAGTAGCCTGTGACAGGAAGACTTCTATACAGCATGTTTTTCTCTCAAGATTTTATGCATAGCTGCAGAGTGAGTAACAATTTCTGGGAAATATCACTTTGCAGCATCCCTGGCTCTGCAGTCTGTGCCTATGACATGCTTGACATTGCCAGTGTATTCACTGGGAGATTCAAGGAACAAAAGTCTCCAGACTCCACATGGACACCGGTTCCTGATGAAAGAGTGCCCAAACCCAGGTATGCCTTATGTGTAGTAATATTGTTCTGCTGCTGCGTGCAGAGTCTTTGACAATCTGAATAGCCTTTTGAAGTACAGATATGGATGAAGATACATACAGTGGAAGCGAAATATCGGTTAAATTGCATTTGTGCAGAAGTGAGAATTTTCCCACTAAAACCAGATTTGTGTAATGTAAAGCAAGCCAGATTTGAATGCACTTGGTCAGAATAAAAGCCAGTTGAATAGTGGTACAAGTTACCTGTTGCATACTGGTTCAGTAAAGAGTGTATCTCATAGAAAAGCTGCACTAATTCTGGTCTAACATACAATTTACTTGACACAGAAAATGTATCTGGTTTGGGAGGACAGGAGTAGGAGGAGCAGCATTCCATTAGAATGGAGACTTGTTTTATCTCATTCCTTCTGAGCTGTTTTTCCAATTTCACTTCTCTCCTGTTTGCATGTAGATCTATTTTTATACTCTCTTTGTATTTCCTACATGCATCCATTTTGTTAGTTATTATTGACAGCCTTTCGTTAACCTATTTTCACCAGTGGCATTTTGCTCTGAGAATACGATGTAAATAAATAGATGAAATTAACTTAGAGTAGTGCTACCACTTTACTATATGTTTTATATCATCTATGATATCTTTCATGAATTTAAAAAAAATCTAAAGCTTTGTGGTGGCAACTAGGCTTCTACATAAGTCCAGATTTGGCCCATCATGTTCGAGATTTGTCAAGTATACTGTCCCTGTGCTGTGCTTATTCTGTCAGTCAGGGGAAGAACCTGGAAGTGCCTGAAAAAGTCTCATCAGTTCTGTGTCTGTTTTCAGTCTGAATCCTAGAAAGGCAGCTGCCTGCATTGGTTTTCTTCCCCTTTTTGCAGTGCTTCAATAACTCACTGACTTGATGGTTTTCTTTGTCAGAGCAAGATGGCTTGAGAATTCTAAGGTCATTTACCTGAAAATGGTAGTCCTGCATAAAATACTGGCAAGGAAAAAGGACAAGGACAAAGAATAATGTTCCTTCTTGTCAGTGGAAACGGAAAAGAGAAAGTTTGTGAAACAGTCCAATGGCATGCTAACAGCTGAAGATGGGATAGTGCTGCTTCTTTTAAGTCAGTAGGAGATAATGTGAACTGAATGAGTGAAATGTTTAATACAGTGCTTGGCCATCAGTCTGCTAAATAAAATAATCATTACTTGTAATTCATGTTGAAATTCAGAAGAGAGGCAAAAGATGACTCTGAAATAGGGTCATTTCTGTTTGGATATCTTAAGATGATGCAGAAACATTAATGCTCTTGTTGATCCTAACATTTCTCAGAGACATGCTGGAAAATTTCAGGGGCCTTGCTTCCCTTTTTTGCTGAGATGAAGAGGAGGGTTTACTCAATTTTATGTTTACTCAACTGAGCCACTCTTGAGATTAAAATAGGGTTAATCCAATCATGTGATTAGGATTTAGGAAGAAATAAGTCTCTAGATTAGATATGGAGAAAGTCTAGGCACTGTGGTGCCAGAAAGCATATGCTGCTCCCTAGAGAATTTCACCTATTGAATCAGTGCCTTTGCAAGGACCTAGTGATGACCTTGATTTATCCTCTATTGTAAATTCTATATGTAGTTACAAAATAATCAGAATATTTTGGACCTGGCAAGCACACAGAACAGTGGAGGACTAAAGGCACTGACGAAGTTAGTCCCTTCCTACCCACATAACGTTTAGTTACCTAAGGTTTGAACATTTATCTAAATCTGAGTGGCAGATATGTTCAAGATAGCATTACTCCATTGATGTCAATGGCTCTACCCACTTTAGATCAGATGAAGATTGAACTCTGCAATGTTTACACATGGATGACCCATCTTTGGTCTTTTCATCTCACAGCGGTTCAAAGGCTGAGGTCCAGGAAATTAGATCAAATGAAATTGGAGAAAATAATCCACAAAATCTTAATAATGGGCAAAAGAATTATGAGGTTTACCTGTTGAGTCAGGAAGGTTAAGTTGGCTCGAAGAGGAGGGCAGGTTTTAGGAATGCAGCAACTAGATTTGCATTTAAATTGTCCAAAATGACTCAACAGTGTCTTAGTGGAAGTCCTTCATGTGCTCTAACACTTAAGTTCTCTTGTCCAGACCTACTTAAAGGATAAAACCGATGCTCACATGGGTGTTTGCTGGGTTTTGTTCTTCAAGACCTCTTTCTACCAGACAATATTGAAGGCAGCATCCTTCCACCCATTTTATAAAAGCAATTTCGCTCTGTATGCTAAAGACTAATTTTATTTTATGGAAGAACAGTCAGGTAGGCAAGATGCAGATCAGAGAACATCTATGCCAGTGAACAGCATCAAGTCAAATACAAACAGTAGCTAGGCTCCATGTGAGTGAATAGACTAAAATCCATGTGTTTCAAGCTCCTGCTAAAAAAGTGTGTTTGTGCTTTTAGGTGCATCTTGGAAGTACCTTTGAGTGGCAGTTAGAGCAGGGTCTGGGGTTTGCCTGAGGGTCAGAACAAGCCCAACATACTTCTCAATCCTTCATTTAAACGCTTGCAATGCACTCCAGATTTCACTGAGGGTGTCATGACAGTTGTTACAGAAAGGAGATTTACACATGTATCAAGCAAGTGTTCTCACTTTACATTCTTGTTTTATTTAGACCAGGTTGCTGTGCTGGTTCTACATCATTAGAAAAATACTCATCCTCTAGTGAGTTCCCAGATGATACTCTGAACTTCATCAAAACACACCCACTGATGGATGAGGCTGTACCTTCCATTGTCAATCGACCCTGGTTCCTGAGAACGATGGTCAGGTAAGTACCACCAAATGGACTCTTCCTCCAGTTGTGGCTGTCAGGTTGTGCTAATGGTCTTGTTTACAATACTCTCAAATGCTGTAGACACCCATGGTATGCTGGGCATGACTCCAGATAGGAAAGATGGTAGTGCTGAGCAGATGCTGTAGAACTCCCTGAGCAGTTTCCAAGATAGGAAAAACACTTAATCCTTTCCAAGTACTCTGTGGTAAAACTGGATTGTGGAGGAAATGCAGTGCAGGGAAGGTTGACCTGCCTCTTGGCTTATGGGTCAGTGTTTGAGACAGCTCTGTAGAAAACTTCAGGCAAGGATCAACAGATAGCCCAGGGATACGTATACAGGATACAAGCACACAGGATATGAAGATGTCTGTTCTGTTATATACTGGTATGTATTACTGTTTAGAGAAGTGTACAGTGAAAACTAACCACAAAATCTGTATCCTTTCTATTACAACAGAAAAATAATGAAGAGGAGATTTGAACCAAGACTCATAAATCAGCAAGCCTCAAATACTCCATACTCTCCCTCTGTAAATATGTTCCCATGTCATGCTGTGATCACTAAACTACTTACCTACCATTCAGTTGTAAATGGAGTAATTCGAAAAAATTTGCCCTATTTTCCTCTCTTCCTCTGTACAAGGGTGGAATTTTGTATCAAAACTTCAGTACAGAAATGGGGTTCACAAAGCCCTGATGCAATATTACCCAGCTGCACTGCCATGCAATATTGCCATGCTGCATTTTAGTTATGTGTGTCTGGCCAAAGGTGAGGGCAACATGCTCTGCACAGTGCCTTTTTTTGACTTCCAGTACCAGGTAACCAATGGTATCAAATCACCAGCACTCACTCTCAATAAATTCTGTGATCCCATAGTTAGATACCATTTTGGCAGTACAATCAGTTAGTGGTTGCTACATGATTATTTTTAGTCAAAGAAAATGAAATTTAGCTTCCCAGCATTGCACTAACACAACTTTTCCTGACAAAAAATTGAATGGAGATCCATTATAATTATTCCTCTTCTTAATGTGGTGGAGCTGGAAATTAAAAAATTTAAAACAAAAATCGCAATGCTGATTTTCTTTCCCTGCCTGTAGAAGACATCAAGCTGGTACTTTGCTTTTGTTTGGAAGGATAATTCCTAAATTGCCTCAGCCTCTCAACAGTTCTCCAGCCTTCTGCTCGAGGTTTGCTGCTGCAGATATGTTTGCTAACTGACATCTGGACATGCACACAAGCACATGGAAATTCCCTACCATTTGGGCAGCCAAACTGGTGCAGTCTGTGTTGACTTACAGGGTTATTCAGCTAGAAAAAGTGCTTAAATATGTTATATGATCTCCCAAAGGCTGTCTCGCAGATATTTTAAGTGGAAAAAGTGATAAAATAAGCAGCAGTCTAATCCCTATGATGCAAGACGCTGTATTGTTATTCCAGATACCGCCTGACCAAAATTGCTGTCGACTCTGCTGCTGGGCCATATAAGAACTACACTGTGGTTTTCTTGGGATCAGAGAAGGGAATCATCCTGAAGTTCTTGGCACGGACAGGAAACAGCGGTTTCCTAAATGACAGCCTTTTCCTGGAGGAGATGAACATCTACAATCCTGAAAAGTGTGTATCTGATTCTTTTTACTCGTGTATGGGTAACTTTTGACACTTCTGATTTCCCGGACAGCAAGTTGTCCCACGAAAAGGGAAGTAGGTAGAGAAGCCAAGTTTTTTTGAGTAGTTTTAAATTGTTTGGAGGGATGTCTGGTTATCAGCCTCTACATTGAAATAAAATATTTTTCACCCAGTATGTACAGACAATAGCCTATCCTATGCAGCAGTTGACAGATCATTGAAAGAAATTCTGCAGAGGAAGATTATTTTTCTAATCCTATAAAAAGCACGATTCCTCTCCAAATAACTCATCAACCAGCAAGATAATCTCCAAGGGAAATTTCTGGCATTTTAACCTTCCTTAAATATGCCTGAAGGGACACTGAAGTGGGCCATAAGCATGCAGAAATTTCAATTACTTTGAGTGCTGGAGAAGAATAAACTTAAAAACTGAAGGGCTCTTAGAAAGCACGTCTGGTTTGCAGTCTCTCTCCACCTCTCCTTCCCTTGAACCATGCCCTTTAATACTTAGTTGTATGTCTTTTTATTAGTGTTTTTAGTGGCTGTTTATTCTTCCACCTTGTCTTGTTCAGGTTCAGTTTCTGGTCATTGTTTCCTTTGATTGAGGAGCCGTCAGTTTTTCATCTGGTTTCCCAGCAGAACTCTTTTGTGACTGTTTCTCACTGTGTCAAATCAGGTGCAGTTACGATGGCATGGAAGACAAGCGTATTGTGGCCATGCAGCTTGACAAACCCAGCAGCTCCCTTTACGTTGCCTTCTCCACCTGTGTCATCAAGGTTCCCCTGGGGCGGTGTGAGCGTCATGGCAAATGCAAAAAGTATGTACTTTGGCCAGCACTTAATCTCTTGTCAGAAGCCTGCGTGCCAGGCACGAGAGCAATCCAAAATGCTTCCTCTGCTTTTTTCTCAAGGGCCTGCATAGCATCCAGAGACCCCTACTGCGGCTGGGTGAAGGAGAGTGGGGCGTGCACACGGCTGGTCCTTGGTGCTAAGTGAGTAATGACTCCTGCTGGAAAAGTACGAGGCAGTGGCAGTGGCGCCAGGGGGACTTGGACTGAGCTTTTTGAAATGTGGGGCTCTCGGGGAAGAAAAATGTGTGAAGTATTTGTTCCTGCCCGGTTTGCATTCTCTGAAATTTCTCACGATTTTTTTTTTTTTTTTTTTGGTGTAAACTCTCAGCTGACTGGTAACTGCTGAAAGAAGAGGAAGAACAAAATGAAAGAGCTGTACTAAAGCCCACGTGTTGTTGAAAAGAGGGAACTGGATGGCTGTGTCTGGACCAGCCCACACTGGAGCCATCACAGCTGATTAAAGAGGCAATAGAATCCAAATCAGATTACTGTAGCAATTTGTCCACTGGAAACAAAACCAGTCCTTCTAATTTACTGTGCATTACTAAGAGGAATCACAGGACACAGAAAAAGCTTAAAGTAGATTCAGAGAGGGGCTGGATTTCCCCTTGGTTAACAGTAGAATTTAATTATTTCATAATAATAGAAACTCTGTGAAGTTTTGTTTAAATACGATTACCTAAGTCTTCTTGTAGAGAGCAGATCTGTTTTAAACATCATATTCCTGGGCTACATCTGACACTATGAAAATACAGCTTAACTCCAGTGTGGCACAAACATCACACAACCACAGCAGCCTCACAGCCAATCCAACTTAAGCCTACTTCTGTACTGGATGAGTTATCATTCCTTTGTTTATTCCATGGTCTTAATTACCTGTTTAAATTCCAGTTGTTTTGTCCATTGTGGATATTGTAGCTTTATCTGTCTGAATATACTTTATCACAGAAGTGGGAACTGGTCCTTTTGTAGAATAACATTAACGTGCACTTCTGTGCATATAAGGGTTTCTCAGCATTCTTGAAGTACTTGAGACTTCTGCTCTTGGCCAGGACAAGTTTTAGGGGGCTTATACACCTTACCATCAAAAGTAGCTCTTCTGCTGTATGAGAAGTTTCATCTGACCATGAGAAGAAAACTTATTTGAGGGTGACATAGCGCTACAACAGGCTACAGAGAGGTCATGGAGTCTCCTTCACTGGAAGTATTTAAAAACCCACCGGGACTCTTTTGCAAGCTGTTCCAGGGATGCTGGTCTAGCATGGGGTTGGACTAAATGATCTTCTGAGGTCTCTTCCAGCCCCTGAACTCTGTGATTCTGTGAGACAGAGGCAGTATAACTCGTAGTGGTTCAGTCTGCAGGTGAGCAAGGCAGGTCACTCTCTACCAATGCACAGCACTTAGGAAGAAGGTGCAGATCAACTTTCAGATGTCAGTTGAACTTCTGAATTATCCAGCAAGACAACAGGTGCCTTCCTGGAGAAGGTGACAGTTGAGCAGGAGTTTTAAGAACACAGTTCTGGGAATTATGTGTATGCAGGGATAATTATGCTTCAACAGCAAGATCCTAACTGATGTAGACAAAAGCTTGTACTGGAGGTTTTCCAAGGTTCTTGCACTCCTCTTTTACCATATTTGGAACTTGGAAAAGCAGCTTCACAAAATGTCTGGCACAGGTTAAAAGCCTAAGTTGGGCATGCCAGCTAGGAAAGCCTACACATATTTATCAGTAGAGGCCCTCAGATTCATTGTAATTCACTTTGTGATCTCTGGACCTTATGACCTGCAACCTGCAATACTTAAATAATTTTGAAAATGCAGATTATGTTGCCCCAGTACAGTACCTAACTCGTAGGTTAGCTTCCTACTTATGTCAAAGTATTGGTGCTGTATGGACAAGTCAAGGTAGGATCATAATTGCTCCTGACAATGTCATTTTTTTTATGGTTAACAATTTAAAAAGATATGAATGTTTGCCTTCCTTGACAAAAAGATACACAGTGGGTTTTCAAAGAAGAAGCCGAGGAATCACTTCCTGATGACAAACAATTTGAAGGCCTAAGTTTCCAGTTTGTTTGTGTGTTGTTTTTTTTTTTTTTTTACACTTTACGAAAGATTCAAAGAAATGTCCAGTTTCATGATGTGTCTTTATTTCAGCTGCAGATGCGACAATTTTTTTTCTGGTAGTCCTGTGACAGTTGTTACTCATGCCGTTATGTTTCTTTCTATTATTTAGGCTGGTGTTTGAGCAGGACATAGAACATGGCAATACAGATGGCCTGGGGGACTGCCAAAGTAAGCAAAGCTTTTGCCTTCTTTTTACCATGTGTAACAGCATCTTTCTGAATGCCATAAAATCACCATTACCAGTTAGACATTGGACGTTCCTTGATAGCAGTGTAAGCCACAGCAGGGATTGCAACTGAAGTTAAAGATGCAGATGCAGATGAAGTTAAAGATGACAGAAATGAAACTGTTGTTTAGATGTATTTAAATAGCCCAGTTGGTGTGATTTATTCAAACTCTGGACTTTATATAATGAGAAGACTTCTGTTCTAGAGGATATTGATCACAGCAATGAAATAATGAATTGGTTGTTCATTGTCTCTATCAGTCATGGTGGCTGGGTTGTTTATGTAGATGTGAAGAAGGAGCTTGGTTTCTTGGTGTAGACTGTGACTTGAATTGCACTCCTATGCAGATCAGGGAGACAGTGAAATATATCTTCAGCTTTTGTTCTGAATCAGTAAGTGGGAGTTGCTGTGCTTGTGAATATTAGTGAATTTTACACATAGGCTGGAAAACATGGCAGTGTTAAGAGTCAAGCACCACTGTTTCTGCCTAAGAAATTTTAATGATAAACATTACATACTGACAGCAAGAGCTGGAAGCATAAACATTTATGTTTGGCACTGAAATGCTTACAAGTACTGAACAAAGAACCTGTCCTTGTTCAAGCCTCAGTTACTACTGTGATAATTGTGGTTGTGGCTTTACAAGGATTTCCACCACTACATGCCTTTGTCTCAGCTACACCTCCCTCTGCCTGTCCCCTAAGACAGGGTCACTTACACTGTCTCTAAGTTTTTTGAAGGAGGTATACACAGTCCCTCTTGTCCTCCGTGTGAAACAGTATAGCACCAAAACTAGGTCATTTCCCAGCTGGTACAACTTAGTCCTTTTCAACTATCAACTTATTTCTGCTCTTCTTGGGCAAATAGGTTAGACAGCAGTGGAGTCCATCAGACATCAGCTGCACATAAAAGGGGAAGAAGTGATTTAGAAAGGGCAAGTTGTGCTCATGGAGAAAGATCCCTGTGCAGCTAGCAAACAGCAAATACCCTGCTTAAATAGCTCTTTAGCTCTAAATGGTACACCGAACCTTGACATTGCACAGGGGTGGATGTTCATCTGGCTGGTTTTACTACTTCATGAGGTCTTGGATCATGTGAGTTTTGTCCTCATCAACTCATGATACTGGCTGCATCATTTATGGTGCCTTACACTGGAACGGGACTTGATCTTGCAAAAAAAAGAAGAAAAAAAAAAAAAAGCATGCCAGGGAGAAAGCTGGGCTTCCTGCTTGGTGTTACTTGTGTGGGTCCAGCCATGAATGCGTTTAAAGACAGATGTTGTTTTCAGGCATTTCTGAATACTCATTTTGCACAGGTTCTTGGTGTAATAATCACATACATACAGATATCAGCTGAAGCATAAAAGATTGCTAGCAGTAAAGTACTAAAAAGGAAAAAAGTGAAAGAGAAATAATGACTTTTTTTCCCTGTTATTTGTCTTTCAGATTCCTTCGTAGCCCTGAATGGTAAGAAAGCTCATAGTTTTTTTATTTACTGACAGCAAATCCATTTTGGAGGAATTACTTTATACTTAACTTTTAAGTATTTTCATATTTTTTGTCTTACTTAATGTTTTGTTTTGTTTTGTTTTTCCCAATTTATTTTGTTCATAGACATTTCAACTGCTTCACCTGATCATGAAATGTCTTACAACACAGTGTATGGTCAGTTTATGGGTGTTTTTTAAAAAGTCTCCCTGGAACCTTGTGTTAACCAGTAGTTCCTCTAGTCAAAGTGCCATTAACCTTTTCTTATTTGTTTTGTCTTCCATCTGAGGGCCTAATTCACTAATCACAAGTGAAAAAAAGTAATGCCTCTTCATTTGCATTCCCTCTTTTCTAGTCCTCTCTCAAAACTGCTTAAGATGGTTTATTTTACTGGCACTCCAGCAGGCATGATTAAGAGCTTGCTTCATCTGAGTACACAGACAAAGAAAGACTTGGATACAGTGATGCATATTATCTGTTCCCTGGGAAAAACAAGATAGCTCACATCCCACTCATGAGGTATTCAGGCTGGTATCACGACTGCTCCAGCAGCTAGTCAACGATAGCTTTGGGAAAGGATCAGAACTGTCCCTGGGTGATAGAGAGACCTCTCTTAAGAAAAATTAATCATTACCCATGTCAGTTGAGATTGGGTTACACCCTGAGTTAAGAAAGTTTTGGTCACTTCTGCAGTGAATCATTTATGTTATCCGTTCTTGCAGTATCACAATACTCCATGGTGCCTGGTCTGTAAAAAATGGAATTTGCACAACAAATTAGGTGATCAAAGCTGAAAAGAAGCATTTCTGCCAGCTTAGGGTAGCAGTTTCCCTCCAGGCAGCTGTTAATCTGCAGTTGCAGTTCTTTGCACCACTTTGTTCTTTGTTTGAAAGTGGATTACATTGGCACTGGGAGTGCAAAGTGTCTTCTGGAGGAATTATTGAAGAGTAAATGATGAAATCAAATTCAAACCTAGATTCATCTTGCAATAGCTTCTCCTTATCGGCAACCTGAACAATGACAAGTGCTCACAGGGATGTGTGATGTTGTTCGCAATGAAGTCAATGGTGAATTTCCATGTGGGATGAGAACTTACTTGTGAAATTACTTCCAGGCTGTTCAAGACTAAATGTTCATTAGAGCTGGGGCAAAATAACTATATGTTTAGAACATAAATAGAGGTAGACTAGTTTGAAATTGTGATGATGCACATTAGATCGATCCCTTCACCTCATGCATGCAAAATATGTAGGTACAAACAGAACCAATGATAACTCAGTGCAGCAGAATGTAAATAACTGGAGGTACACCAGTACTGTTCAGCATTTAAAATAAAGAAATAAATAAAATTTCCCATGTTGTTTTTAATCAGGAAATAGAAAATGTGCAAGTGAAACTTGTTTGCAAGTATGATAATGAAAACCAATTAGGGAAATATACAAAATCAAAGGCAAGCTGAGACTTCATAATGCGTGAAAGACTGATTGTTTCGTCTGCATATACAGCTTGCAGTTGAAATTGGTATATAATCAAGGCACAGAGCAGTAATTAAAGAGCAAGTAGTAATAATAAAATCCATACTGCTGAATCTAAAGAAAAAGAAAATGGCCTTGAGCCCATTGTTAATATGCCAGAAGTGTCTTAGCATTTTTGCTACTATGCTTGAAGGCTGCACAGTTATAGCTGTAGGCAGCAAACCTGTATCCCAATCAGCTACCATATCAATTCAGACTTCATCCAAAGTTGATATTTTGGTTTGACTGAGAAGGCAGGAAAAAAAATGGTTCGAATGAGTGACAAAGTGAAAAAAAGCTGCAGTCCTAGGTAACATGGGTTACAAAAGAAGTCCAGTCTACTGTCCTTACATGAATGAATCCAGCTCATAAAATAGGATCCCACTGCCAAATGTGAGTTGAAAATGATGACCCAACATGAACGTTGATTCCCATTCGTGGCATCTTTTGCAGATTTTTTCAGTGACTCTTCACAGGTAGATCCTGATCCACAGTCACTAAGCGAGACAGCTCTTCCCATTATGGGTCCAGCTGAAATACTGCTATTTCTGCAGTCAGTCTTTCTTTTCACCTATGAGGACAAAATACTAAAAGAGCTTGTCACTTCTGTTGATCTTCCACATGAGGAGCGTAAAGAAGTCCAGCACTAGACAGTCAACCAGTCTAGGTAGACATGCTCACGTTTGCTACATATTACATCTGCTCTGAGTGATATTTTTTTTTCTTGAGGAAACTAAAATTTTATAAATGGTGCCTTTTACTGTTAAACATGTAACTAAATGGTATTTCAGATTAAACCTCAGAACTGCGATATGTCAGGATGCCAATCAAGCGAATGCTTAGAGTGCTTCTGCTGGGTTAAATATATCCAAAGGCATCTGAAGCTCCAGGTGCAAAAAAAAGTCTTACAGCTTGATTACCTCTTTCAGCTGATTTACACCACCACAAATCATCACGCTTTGGTTGACTTATTGCCTATCTGTAGCAGTGTAACTGAAGGGAGAATCAAGCCCTTTATTGCTGTATTCTTGACATTAGCCTCTTCCTGAATTTGGCAGGTGGGATCCTTTTTCTAGGGCAGTCTCCCATGGTCGGTTGTAAACAAGTAAGAAACTGCAAAGCCCACTCAGGTGGCTGTTCAATTATATCTCTTTTGACACTCAAGAAGAAGACAGCAGGCTGAAGATCTGCTGCAGAAGGTCAGAGAAGAATGGTGAAAGAGACGCATGTTTAAACAAAGAGATTAGCCTAGATTCTTCCATAAAATTGTAAGCAGCTTCAATTATCGTTGGAAACATTCAGTTCTTAGTGAATTGGGCCCTTATCTTACCCCCTAGTCATATCCCTTTCTCTCTTTGTAGTATTGATTTAGCCTTTCCTACTAATTGTCTAATTAGGTTGCTATAGTTGTTAATAGAATAGTGTGCGGACGTCTTAACCTCTGAGAACCTAATGACTTGTGCATATTAGAGCAACCATCAAATACGTATTGAATCCCTGTCTTTGTTTTAAAGCTGAAAAAATCTCTTTCTGTTTTACAAGTGCACTTCCAATTGAGCTGTAGTTGTAAAAGCACAGCCCTGTTGAATCATTACCCATGCCTGTAGATCTTAGGAGCTTTTATGCTGGTTCTATGGTTTTATGCTTGGTTACAGCACTCCAAATGAAGAGTTTTTGCAAACAGTGGAAGCAACCTAAAACAGATCTTTCTTGAAGTGTGTCTATTTTGAGTTTCGAATATTTCCTCCGAACAAAGTGGTTTGAAAAGGACCGTCTCTGCAGTTTTCAGATGGATTGTTTTAAAACAAAGGCAGGATTGTGGTTTTTATATATAAGAAACTCTAGCTAATACTAACATAGAGGTACCAGCCATAGAGATGCTGGCTATAGAGGGAAAGACTCTTAAAACTGTAGCAAAACCAGTTTACACAGTCAGAGTGGTACAAATGGTGCGATGGGAAAAAGGAAAACAAGATCCTCTCGGTGTTGCAAACTATACAGTACTCTGTAAAGGCTTAATAGTGACTGAATGTGAAAGGGCTAGGAGTACACTGCCTGCCACTCCAGTCTTTTCTCTGTTTATGAGAGAAACTTAACTACCTAATACATCTGTGGTGCCGCTCGGTTCAAAGGTGAAATTCACCCAGTGGGACTGACTGCTTACGAGACTCAGTGATACTGCTTACGGTATCCAGCATGGTAGCGCTGCCCAGTAGTAAACGCTTCCAGAATGCAGATCTTGCTCCGGTAAGGAAAGTTGTTAATCTGCTTAATCTGCTCCTTCCCTGCTTCTACCAAATGGAAGAACGTTTATCTTGATTTCACGTGGAGGATTGTTTCTCAGTGTGTACTATACTTGCACATTAGTAACAGAGCAAAGAGACTGATTTCTCCGCTTGTGTGAAACCCTTCACTACCTAACTACCATCTGGCATACATTAGTATCTTCACAAAGCTTTAGCTTTCCATTACTAGGAAATTCTCCATGTATTTGCAGCATATGGTTGAGGATTTTTTTTTTTTTTTTTGAAAATGTGTCCCTTGGGCATGTATTTCCTCTAGATTGCTGTATTAAGAAATGTTTTTCTTTAAACATATTTACGGCTTTTTCTTAAAATTGACCCTCAAACACATCTAAAATAGGCATAAAAATGCATATCAAAGACAGGTATAAAATATGATTGCTACTTGGCAAGATTTTCTTCTGCCTCTATATCCAGCTCTGATTAATTGCTTTCTCATGTTGAGTGCAGTGTTATTTGTAGGCTGATCAAATACTGTACACATTATTGTGGTCATTTAATGGGGTATTAATTTGGAGATGTGACTTAGTCCTTAGGAAAAAGAAGACAAGGAAATTTCATAGCCGTTTTCTGGCCTGTTCTCTGTCCCATTGTTCTTCTTCTTTCTTGGGAATGAGCACAGGAACTGACAAGCGTGAAATGATGTAGAAGTGAAAGCTTTCACGCTCCAGCATTTCCTTGCTTCAGAAGGGCACGTGTTTTCAGCCCATGGGGCCTCTACCTGTCTTCTTGGAAACAGGCAGCCCTGCAGACCTTCGGTGATGCAAGCATAAAGTTTGGATCACGGTCTGTCATCCATCTAGCTGGGTTATCAGTGTTTCCAGCTATGCTGTGGCTTATAGGAACCTTTAAAAGTGGATAATATTTGGGTTCTCTTTCCTATTTAAGCAAAATTAAAGCTCAGTTTTCAACAAAATGCAGCCTCTGATTTGCTGTTAAAGAAAGATGGCTAGAGAGACCACACTTCCTACCACAAGAGATAGAAAGTAGAACAGTTCCCTTGTCAACATAAGCCTTCAGACTGAGGTCCAATGCCCAATTAATCATGTTTATGATTTGCTATGGTATCTGAAGGTAGATTCAATGGTGAGAATACTGAATCGGCCAACTTTCGCTGCAAAGCATAATAGTTACAGGAGTTTGTTCTGTCCATGTCCTGTTTGAAGTGTGTAGCAATTCAAAAGTGCTCCTCAAAATTATGCAGAGGAGCTACAGGTATTTTCTTGCCTTCCAAAATCATTAGTATTCACCAGGACATCTTCTAAATCACAGCAGCATCCTAGCAGATGCCACAGATTTTTTTTGTTGATTTCATCAACATTTTAGCCTCACAAAGCTGTTAAAAGGTCTAGATAAAGTGAAGTGCATGCTTGCATCAAAACTTGGACACACTGGTGTCCAAGATTTAGATTTCTGATGGCTAGAAGAGAATTGGGAACCTTAGATTCATTAGCTCTCTGTGCACATGGCTCTGAGAGCATGAGCTGAAGCACCGATGGAAAATCCACCTAAAGCAGCCTTTTCAAGGTACAACATCGTGAAGCTTTATGTGTGTCCAGTGATGATTTAAAAATGACAAGCACAATTTCCTCTCTTCAAGCTCTGTAAACTCAGCTCCAAATCTGGGCTCCTTGTGTACTTCTGCCCCAACCTCAAATGCTTTTTCTGAGAAGTGTAATATTTGGTGAAGGAGAGGGGAAGAGTCCTTGCTAGAACAGTCAGTAGTCTGGTGACTGGCCTCCTCCCCATGGAGAGGACTGAAATCTAATTTAGGTTGCTAGGCTATTACAAAGGAGGCAGGAGAATGGAGGACTACTCTTTGTCTGTCCAGTGTAATCTAAAAAGATATTATCTGCCTTTTTGTCTGAATGATCTGATTCTACTCTTTCAGGAAAGCAGGTAAGGGAATATTGAGTTATTCCATATCAAGGACAGAAGCAGTTTGAGTCCTGTTGAAGATAAGACATTTTGGTGCATGTAGTGAAAGGGAACTCTCAGAAGCAAGTGATTTTAAAGTCAAAATGTGGTGTGGAGGGAGTTTCAATGTCCTTTTTCCCAGGAGCCAAGGATCAAACAAGCCACTGAGACATCTTGGTTAGAGCCAGCATTCAGAGACCATAAACTTCAAGCACATTGCATTTTGGGTGCTGACCTACTTCTTGGGATGAAGTTTACAAAGATGCAAATATATTTATGCCCCAGCCAAACCAGTGTTAATGCTGTTTAGTGCCTACAACAGCTTATGTCCTATTTGTGTGCTGTTTGTTAGGATCTATTCAAACAGTGAGGAATTCCTCAGCCATTTTCAGCCATAACAGTGTCTAGAGCAGATGTAAAACTCATCATCGCTGGACTGTAATCCTCTCTTCTGGTCTAGAGGTGTGTGCTGACCTCCAGCAGCCTATGTGACAAATGCAAAGCAGATCACATCCTAAATTTTCTTCAGAATGAGCATGCAGGCATTCAAAGGGGCCTACAGCAAGCGAGCAATGCCATGCCTCTGTCCTAACAGGTCTACCAGCCAAGTGAGATGTGGAGACCATGGTAGTTATGGGTTCTTTGCCAGTTTTACATAGTAAGCTCTTTTCTTCATTGTTAATTTGAGAAATAATGTGCAGCTTCATGCTAGCAGTCCTTACCTCTTTTACAGCGCCAGCTCAGACAATACCAGTGGCGATGGTGCAAGTGGGCATGAACCCAGCACATCTTCCAGCCCCACCCTGAGTCTGATGCCCCAGCACCAGTGTGCTACTTCTGGGCAGTCTTGTTCCCTTAGAGAACATCTATGTTGCAGCTCTTCTGGCATACCTCTCTGGTTTGGGCCATGCTTGAAGTTGTTCCATTTTAATGCTTAAGTTGTCTCTGAAGCTGTTTTTCAACCTAAGCCACTACCAGCCAGTGTGAACTGGCACTCTGGCATTGTACAAGCTGATGTGCAGAATCCAGCCAAAGGATGTTTGACTAAAGCAAAGCATCCTCATGATGCTCTGCATACCTTTAACACTGCTGGGCAAAAAAACAACCATGAACTAAGCTGCAGCCAACTGAATATGCACAGTCATTGACATTATCAGGCTGGCCACTGGGGAAGGTCCAAATTCTGTGCTTCCTTGGGCAGTGCTTTGCAAGGACTTTGAAGCCTTGCTCAGCCTAAGAGGTTCACACATGAGGAAGATCAAAGTTTGTGCTCCTGAGCATAAGGTGGCGTGGTAAGTGACTAATTGAGCCTTGTCTTCCCTACCTGTATTTATAATGTAACAGGACATTCCAGTTCACTAGTTCCAAGCACCACCTCTTCCGACTCTTGGGCTCGACAGGGTTATGATGCTAGGGGACGCATGCTGGATTGGAAGGATCCGCTTGGTTCATCCGAAAATACAGATCCATATGTGGCAGTTTCATCCCATAATCATCAAGACAAGAAGGGTAAGGCCTTAGAAATGACTTCCTGTGGTGAGGAGGGAGGGGGGGAGGACTGAAGTGTAAGTGCTTCCAGCTGGCTCTGAGCAACATGTAATAAAACTCCTGTGCTATAATTAAAAGCTTATCGTAAAGTCTGAAACTAAACAGCCAATCTCAAACTCAGTCCTAGATAATTCACTGCCTGAGGAAACCACACAAAACAAATAGAAATGTGTGTCTTTGCTGTGTGTATTGTGCCAGTGCATGGGAAACAATGGGGACTTAGCTCTCTTTAAACTTGATCTTCCTCACTGTCTGTCAAAGGGAGATGCACAGCTTGCCATTGTTCCTAAGGGTGTATTTTCATACTGTCTTTTTTCCTGAATTCCTGGGGAAGCACAGCAGGTCTCAGCTTAATTTCACATTATTTCCATCTCTCTTTGGCCATCAGAGGTACTGAAGCTCTGAGATCTGTGCCCGTTTAACTGGTGGAGTTGTGCTGACACTGGTCCTAGCCACTGGACCCATAGTCCCACTGTCCTCAGTGGGACCTGGGCATGAAACACCTTTGAGATCATCACTAGTGATTTTCAAAAGATACTTGGGTGGTTGCTGGTGAAGAGCATTTCTCTGTTGTGTTTTTAAAGCCCCAAATGGTGCTTTGCTTTAGGTTCATTATTCCATGTTCAGCCCTGTGCTGAAGCACCATTGTGCCTGAGACAAGGGGCAGCCCTGTTGTTTGGCCTCTAATCCCACTTTGCTGTGCATATAAAGTATTAAGCAGAGAGTTGCTTCAGCTTGCCACTTGAACCTGCTTAGTGAAAGAGAAGCTTTTCTTCTGAGCGAGCATGGTGGTGCCTCGTAATTCTGTCATGGCCCTCCAAAATTCTTCCCGCTGCTTCCCATTCCTATCTGAATGAGGTTAAAATGGTGCCTTTGTAAATAGGGGGCCTAGGTTCAAATATCTCCTCTACCTAGAGAGATTTGAGTCTTTGTTATTCTTCTCCAGGGTGTTCTTAGATCTCTTCTTTCAATTTCTTCTCTGCCCAAGATGTTTCACTCTGTATGCACTAATTAAGTACTCAGTGGACCAGGAGGAGGATGGGTATAAGCAAAACTCACTTGCTGTGTGGTTAGGGCACTCACCGGGAGCAGAAGCACACATGAGCTTCAGGCCTTTCTACTATGAATACTTTATAAAAAACACTTAAAATATTAATTGAAATGTGGATTCCAGTCTCTATTGTTCATGCATTTTACATGAAAAACTCATTAGATGAAAGCATCAGCTGTTCCTGGAGAGGCTACTGGCATGCCAGACCTACTGCTTTGAATTGTCAGCCCAAACTAGTAGGTTACTAAATCATATTCCTTCCCTCTGTCTAACCCACTGAGTCCTGAGTTCTCTGCGTCACTGCAGAAACTTCCAACAGGGAGTAATGAGCACGTTAACATTGGAAAACAGTTCAGTTTTCAGCACAGCTGCAGGAACAGCTGACGGTGGTCTGGACTGTGATCTCTGAGCCTGGTGTTCACTACAGCCCCAGACACACAGCGTCTCCAACAGTCCTGGGATGTCCTGGATTTCTCATGGAACTCCTTACGGAGCTTTTGCAGCTCCTGGCCACAGGGGCATTGTGCATCACCTGGCTGACCCAGCAGAGACAAAGCCTGTAGCAGTTTTCCAGCTGAGGAGACTGGAAATTAAGCAGAAGATGCAGTAAATTTTCCTGGGATGCCATGGTGATCGTTAATCTAGTAGCCGTGGTGTTTAGGCTTGATGGCAGGAAAGGGAACACAAAGATCTGGATTCCCTCAAGCAAAAGATATGAATTTGTGTCCCACCTTCCAGCAATTCACTTTTCCTGCAAAAAAAAAGAGACAAACTGCCATTTACTTCTTTTCTTTCCACTCAGTTTTATAAAATCTATTCCCAGATATTTTTTTTTTCTAAGCTTGATTCTATAGACATTCTGGGAGATTAAATGCAAATCCAAAGAAAAAACAATGTGAATTTTTGAACAATCAGGCTTACCTGTAAGGTAAGCACAGAGCTCCTCTGCACCCTGCAGAGGCTGCAGAGCCTCTGTGAAAGTAATGCAGCTTCCTTTGCTACAACTCAAAACCGTAATATGAGGGAGGAGCATCTGTGGGTGTTGAAGATAAAAAGTCAGATTCCAAACTCTCGAACTTAAGTTCAGTCTGCGAGACTGTCCTCATTTCTTTGAATCTGAACCCTATTCCTCTGCCCTGGCTCTTCAGCTGCAGAAAGGCAGTTTAGAAAAAGTTATTTCTGGGTGTTGGATATGTAGAAGAGAGAAAGCAGATAAACTTTCTTTAGAGATGGCAACGTGATTTACCTCCCTCTCCATTCTGTCTGAGCAGTAAATCAGTGATAATGCTGACAATCAAAGAAATAAAGTTCTTTTTTTTTCCTTTTTCTTCCAGTCTCAGTAACACCTGGTATTCAAACTGCTTGAAGTGAGAGGATATTTCTTAGAAAATAGTGTTCTGTCTTTGAAAGTAAGTGGTGGTTTTCTTCTCCTGCCTGAGATGTCATTAGGCAGACTTGGTGAGGAAGGGAGGAAAAGATCCTTGCACCCAGCCCTTCTGCTGGTGTCAGTCAGGGGTTGTAGGTCAGAATCCAGCAATAGTGGAAGGCACGGCCCCTTACATACCCAAAAGAACACAGAAAAGTGTACGCATTTTAATGCCACTATTTGTTATGTGTGGATTTTTACTTTTCAAATCTTATGCAAAACACTGCTTAGTAGCTGGAAAGCTGTCTTTTAAAAGCATCTTGTATGCCAGCAGCAGCTTTCAGAGGAGCATGCATTGAAAATATTAATAAAAGTACATCTGTTGAATTTGAGTAATACTTGCTTCAATTCCCTGACTGGTGAGATGGCTGAAATTCAGTAGCTCCCTCCTCAGGGACTGATGGTTACCAAAGTGCTCTATTAGCACGTGACAAGGTCCTTTAAATATCATGCATTCTTCAGTGCCTAATTATTAATACTGACAAAGCTGGAAGCAGTCTACACGCAATCAAAACAATGGCGGCAGAGGTGACCGCATGGTTGTTTGCCATTACCATCTACTTGTGTGTTGTCACTCCTTGCCTTGCCGAGCCAAAGCTGCACGGCTCTAAAATTACTATTGATTAGTTGTTTTAAAAGGGCAAAGGAAAGAGTTCTTGCACAAAATTAAATCAGAAAATGTTAAGCTTGCTATTCTTTTATCAAGGTTTTGTTTTCACTTTTTCTGTGTTTTATTTTTGCACATTCACAGAAAAAAAAAAAAAAACATTTCTTTTTCTTTTTAACATTTTCTCTTCATTTTGCAAAGTGCTTTGTGGTGTTCTTCATTGGTTCTGTCTAATCCTTCAGACACTGTTTACTTTCTTTTCCCATACATATAATTGTTACCAATTGTACTAATAGTACAAAATACACTTGCTGCTTTTTCTGTCTGTAACACGGGCGCTTTGATGATGTCACATCCATCCATATGCTTCACTTTTAATTCAGTGCAGGCATCTTGGGGAATATCTGTGGGGGCGTGAAGAGGGGGGTTCTTTAAAAGGGTTGACTCATGGGAATGTGACATTTGTGTGCCACAGTTTTAGTAGCTAAATATACTCTGGGATTGTTGTTTCTGAGCTACCTCACATTTCTCGCTAAGATGGAAATGTGTAGTGCAACCCGTAGAGTGGGAATTATGCATTGCTATCCCACTGGCATTTTCATTGTTGCCATTAAGAAATCTGCTTTTCTCATTGCAAACAAATGGAAAAAAAAAAAAAAAAAACAGTTCTGATTGGGCAGACCGCACCCTCTTTCCTTTTCTCCATCTCCTCCACAGAAAAAAAAAGAAAAAAAACCCACAGCAAAACAAAACAACCTATGTTCTAGAGTATGTTTATGTTTTGTTTCCTTTCTTGCTGTGTTTTACCCTTGATTTAATTGCTTTGGTCTTGATTTAATTGTGTGTTTCTCACCTTTGTCGATAGAGTTTTCCTAACCTCGCAGTCTAACCTTCCCTTCTGCTGCCATTGTACTGAGCCTCCCTCCCACCCTTGGCAGTCATGAAGCTCCTCCTGCGAAGAGCTCCAAGGCTTTACCTGTACACCCAGTAGTGCCCCAGTAGCTGTGTCTGTAGTCATTCTACTAACCATAGGGGACCTAGGTACATCATACCTATACCACTGATGGAGAGGCCTGTGTGAAGAATACAAAGTGATTTTCTCATCACCTTGCTGGCCCTTCTATGCTGTCTCCTATCCCTTTTGCCTCCCTTTAGGAATGCTTCATGCTTTTCCAGTACCAGATTTGCTAGCACAAATATAGCCAACTGCTCAGTTTTCTCATTCATTCCTCAAATGTACAGAGCCTGCATTTATTGACAGTGTTCATAACTTGGCTTTAGATTATGATTTCTTTATACTGTTTATTTTCTGCAGCATTCAGGTGGACATGGTTTGCCTGGGCACTGACCAATAGAAGCATAGCATTATTTTTAGCAGCCTTAATGCTTGTATTCTCATTTGTGTCAGTGCTCATTATGAGACGGTATCTCCTTTTCATAACAAAACCAAACCTTTTTTCAGTACCAGCATGCCAATGGTAAAAAACTGATTAGAAGCAGGATGTGATGCACATAGCTTATACTGTTAATAGCTGCTGTTTGGATGTCCAGAATGCTCCTGTAGATATGGTATCTGTTAGTGTCTGTTATTTCACATGAAACAGTTAATAATTGCAGCCCTCAGGAGGTACAGAGTTCAGTATCTTTAGCACTAGTCAATAATTTGGAGAGGGATGTATAATTGGGAAGCCCACGGGCTGATCCTTCCACAAACTGCCTCCAGATGATGTTTTTTGTTGTACACAAGTGGCAGCGTTACTAATTTTTACTGAGGTTATCACTACTTGAAAGATTTACTAAGTGCTGACAGTGCTATCTGGAGAGTCTGCAAATGTTAGGACAGACTCTGCTCCAGGGAGACAGAATTGTATGAGATT